ATTGAGGTGGAATTTCGATAGAAACTTTATTACTCATTTCTGAAATAAAAATTTGGTAATAAGAAAGTACGATAGATCATATTTTAAAAAATCGACGAAATTAAAGACCAAAAACAAACGGATTAAATAGGTTTATAAGGGGCTAAATTTATATTACGCAATCCGCCGAAAAAAATATTTCAATAAGCCTTCCCGAATTAACCACAGCAGCTCTATGCTACGCTTTCGGAAAAGCGATTCCTGCTAGGTTGGAACCTGTTTCATTTAATCGAGTATGATTAAAACGAGCTGAAATAGTGTTGCAGACATTTTTATTAGGATATTATATAAAGCAATCAACGTAGACTTCCCATCAAAAAATGCTACGAAATGGCCGGCATCACGGTATTTGGCTGGAAATAATTGTGGCGCACATGTGATGTATTAGTAGTTGACAAATAGATTTTTAATTACTGAAAATTACCCATAATACTTAGTAAAAATGAGATGTGATACCGGTGACAAAAAATATATCACGTGAAATTTCGTGACATTTTTTGATGGGTACGCAAGCAGAAGTGATACTGCGGTTGATAAATATGAATTAATTGAAAGTTGCTAGCCTAGCTATATCAGTCTTCGACCGATAACATACAATATCACGACTTATTTTCGCTAAGCTAGCCATCTATGGCTATACCCGTATTTAGAGGCCTGCAACGGCCTGGTCCGGTTCAGGTACCTGACCGGATTTTTTTATAATTTGGAAAAAATCATTATTTAATTAAAATTAAGCCGCCACTGATTGATTGTATAATAAAATATTTTATTGCTGTTAAAATTTCATATTGTTTGTAAACAATAGTAGAATTTTGATATTACATAGTGCTCTTCATTGTTTATTTATTATAATAATATTGTAATTTGTTAAATAAAATAAAATGATTAAATTGTTAAATTTCGGATCGCCAATAATTATAATTAAATCCGGGCCGGGCCGTACTGGCATTTTAATACACTAATAACCCGGGCTGTGCCGGGCCGGTATTTTAATTCTTGACTTAAAGTCTGGGCCGGACCGGGCTTCAAAATTGACTTATGCGTCTCTACCCGGATTAATGCTTTTATGCCGCCATCCGGATTACGACCCGCTCCTTAAATAATATCCAGTCTTTTATCCAGAATTCGGGTTATATCCGGATTATTTGAACTGATGAAAAACCGCGCGTCCCATAAATAACATGTGTACAAAACGGAAATGACGTGCCATAAATGAACGGGCTTAATGCTCTTAAATTGGCCAAAACCGTTGCCGGGATTGAACATACTGTATATGAGAAGGAAGAATTGTAGATTGCTGGTTGCTGTGCAACATATGTAATCCAAAGAAGTACATAGAAATGCTTTAATACTTGATTTGACAAATATTTACTCTACACTTTACGTCTCTTTAGGCAGTCCTGGTTTGTTTGATGCATTACAAATCTACTAATTTTTTTCCTGTTAATCTTTTCTGTACTTCTAGATTTCATATCGGAAGAAATCTACGTATGTAGATAATTAAGTCACCGGCTTCGTGTTACTATAATAATGGTTTGCGACGGCTTTATTTTAAAAGTCTTCGTCGTTTCCTTTTATAACTGATAGCTGCAATGATCCTAAAATATTCAAGAATCCAAGCAAGGCACTTCCTCTACTATCATAGTAACTTTGACCAGACAAGACGTAAATATGCGTCATCCATTGATTATGACTTCCCATAAACAATTCAGAAAAGTCCGGATTGTTAATTTACGCAAATAACCAATGATGCAAATTAAATAAAATTCATATAAATAGAGTACTTTTCTTTTTTAGTACGAAATGCGATCACCATTACTCCTTCGAGCGTAAGTCACTAGACTGAATAAATTTATTTTTAATTAAAAATATTTTTAATAGACCTTAAGCATCACATATGACAATGCATATAATATTGGGGTGCGCTGTCAACATAGTTTAACAAAACTATAGTAAAACTTACTATTAGAGATTTTTTGACGATCATTTTTACTTCGGGCTTTGCGAGCCATTTTTCTAATAAAACTAGGGAACGGGAACCGTTGTGCGTCTGAAGCGTTAATTTACATCGCTTAAATATATAACGGAAAAAAGTCAATAAATAAATCTAATGTTAACACGGCATCACGTGAAGAAAAAGGCACGTGTTTATGTTACCTGATCTTAAATTTTGATTGGTTAATTTTGTGAAAGACAGACGGACATTGCATGGTTTTGACTGTAACAGAAGTGTCCTTCGCTACGCTTCGGACAATAACCGAAATCTTTAAAATTTAATAACTTGTACTCTATTAACATTTAAGTAACACAGTAAAGTTGAATGGGTACATGAGAACTTTTAGAAACATAAAATACCTCGTTTTCAAAACTCACGTAAAAAAAAAAGTTTATTTTTTAGAAGGGTTAATTTATTAATTTTGGAGTATTAATGAATTTTTTTTTAAAAAAGCAATCTATTTTTGTGAAAGAGATAGTTATTTGGAGTATTTTCGAAAAATCTGAAATGAAAATGATAAGAAGGATCCAGAGTTATTAAAGAAAGAAAATATAGTTTCGTTAATAGTAAATTTATTATACTATAAAATAGCTTAATATAAAAAATTCTCAATACCGTACTTTACGGTCTAAAGTACCCCCTGTAGTCTGTAGATTAAAATTTTGGTGGATATTTCAATGGTGTATATCGGACATAAGTACTGGCAATTTATTATAACGTCTATGACGATGATGACAGAATGTAAAACCCGTAATGCCTGTAATGCCTGTAACTATTCAGGAGACATTTTCCTCCATTTTCACTTATTATTAACAACACAGGAAATGTTTTCACTAATAATACAGGAGATAATATGTTATACAGCTTGAATTGACAAATACTAAATCAGCATATTGATATTGAAATACCAATTGAGAGTAAATTTCGTTAATGTCATTAATTCGTTATAGAATCTTAAATAATTGCAATATAAAAATAATTTTTATAAATATGCTAATGTTTTTTTCAAATGCTTTTATTTAATTTTTTTTAATAAAAATTTCATCATTTAAATTTCCAAATGGTTATAAAAAGCAATAAAAGTTATTTAAAAGCTCATATAACAAAAAAATTAAAAAGAAATTGGAATGCCAAAGAAAGTTAAAAATTATTGCTGATTACGAGCAATACAAAATCAGCATTAAAGAATTTGTAAAAAAAATAATATTTAACCAAAACAACTACATGAATGGATAGACAAAAAAGATAAATTAATTCAAGCTTCCCCAAAAATTACATAATGGAAAAATTACCTCATTATCCAGAAATTGAAAGTGTTTTATTTAATTGGATTATAGAACAACATCAGTTACAAAATCCTGTTGCTCAAAAATTTATAATTATAAAAGTTATATCACTTTCAAATACAAGTTTTCAACATCTTCCTAATATTCAAACATTTAAATTCTCGAGTACTTGGCTTAATAGTTTTTTAGATCATTATAATTTATTAATTTGCTGCTAAATAACTATCTTACAGAAATTACTTGTAAATCTGAAAGAACAAAAACAAAGTTTTATAAATTATATTTCTGATTTACATATTTGATATAATTATCCTTTAAGCTTAATATAAATAAGACTTCTTTTACATTTGACTTTTTGAATATAATAACTATAGCTATAGAAAAATGTAGAACCTGCAATATTAGTATTTGCAATCATTCTTGCATGTATAGCAATTGTTACCAGTTTGCATATTTAAAAGAAAGGTTATATATACCCTGAGAAAATTTTTCTGCTAATATATTTATTTGTGCAAATCTAAAAGGTTAGATTAGTAAAATAAAATGCTATGGTAAATTAAAAATATTTGATCCAGAAAAACTTCTTTTAATAATCAAAATTCCCTTTTAATTTTTGACTTTTTTAGTGCACATTTAGTAAATCTGGTTAAAACTAAATTATTAATCAATAATACTATAGAGGGTGATTACAGGTACCCAAATAATTAATTAAACTATTTGAATTTACTTATTATATTAACTTTTTTTTTAGAATAAGCAAAAAATTTATTTGT